TAAGTACCATTCGAATGCACGAACAGGGCCGTTCGTGCAATTGGCTCAGTAGCAGTGCGTGAGTTCAAATAGCCGAACTGTACCGAACTGCGACCACCCAGCCGTTCGTCTATTAGGTCAATTAGTTGCAGTTAACCACAGCTTCTGGGAGGTTAACAGGCGGCACACTCCCATTGTGTGTGGTCTGGCCGTTCGGCAGTTTATTCGGTTAAATAAAAGGGAATACATAAGACTAAATGCACGAACGGCATACGAAAAATAGGGCACTGGTATCCACAAAACTGTTTTGTCAGTTACTTACTACACACACAGTAAAAGATATATAAAAATAAATCTGATATATAGAATTCTATATACCCCAAGGCCTGCTAGCGCACATGCGCGCTGCTGAGATCAGCAAGTGCTTTAGCAGACCTTGGGGTATAGAATTTTATATCAGTTTTTTTATATATATATATATATATATATATATATATATATATCTTTTACTGTGTGTGTAGTAACTGTGACAAAACCCCATTTTTGTGGATACCAGTGCCCTTTTTTTTATGCCGTTCGTGCATTTAGCCCTATTTATTTGTTCCCTTTTATTTTAGTTACGGTGACGTGACATTTTTTTATTTTACTTACAGTGACCTAGGTATAGAAATCTGATAGATACAGATTTCTGATAGAGCACAGGAAGTCCCTCTAGCGCAGTGGTTCTCAACCCAGTCCTTATGTTCCCCCTAACAGTACAGGATTGAAGGATTACTCAATTGTGCCTAAGGTGTTTTGGGTGAAAAAACAAAAAACACTTTAGACACAACAGGGTAATCCCTAAATCCGGGACTGGTAGGGGGTACTTGAGGACTGGGTCTGGAACCCCTGCTCTAGTGGCTGTCTGGTAGGGGAGGAGTTAAAGGAGCACTATAGTGCCAGCAAAACAAACTCGTTTTCCTGCCACTATAGGCTCATTAGGTCCACCCACCCTCAGGGTCCCTGTTCCGTTGGGATGAATGGGTTAAAACGCCTTCAGCCACTTACCTTTCTCCAGCGCTGGACTCCCTCTGGGCTGGAGAACTCTCCAAACCCTGCCGATGTCAGATCCGAATTTGCATGCGCACATTTAATTTGAATCATAAGAAAGAAAGTGAAAAAGATAGAAAAAGGAAAAAAAAGTGAGATAGTAAATAAAAATGTAACCACAAATGATAAAGAGAAGTGAGTCTGCAATTGGCGACCCACTCACTTGTTTCATCCCCAGGGCAAAGCATCCAAACTCCTTCAGTCCTTGGCGTGGGGAGCGGACCTCCAGAGCTCAAACACAATACCCTAGCGTTAACTGACTGCGCTGGCGGAGGTAGCAGGCGTTGCCACACCGCTGTCAGACACAGCCAGAGGGGAGAAACCAGTACCACTTTAAGGGAGATTTTAAGGTATTTGGGGGGGGGGAGAATGGAAGAATAAGGAGGAATGAGAAAAAAAAGATGTTTTGCCACCACCAATAGCAAAATAGAAAGAAATAAAATGGTAAAGAGGAGTGAGTGGGCAATTGGCGACCCACTCACTTGTTTCATCCCCAGGGCAAAGCATCCAAACTCCTTCAGTCCTTGGCGTGGGGAGCGGACCTCCAAAGCTCAAACACAATACCCTAGCGTTAACTGACTGCGCTGGCGGAGGTAGCAGGCGTTGCCACACCGCTGTCAGACACAGCCAGAGGGGAGAAACCAGTACCACTTTAAGGGAGATTTTAAGGATTTGGGGATTGGGGAGAGAATGGAAGAATAAGGAGGAATGAGAAATAAAATAAATATTTTGTCGCCACCAACTTTATATAATTAGAAAGAAAGTTGAGAAACCCTAAGCTCAATTACAGTCAAAGTGTAGAGCAGGGAACCCCAATTTAGGCAGATTGAATTTAAGAAAGGCAATCTGCTCCATGAGATGAGGTG